AAAACGAATTTTGTTTGTGGTTCTGCTGTTTTCGAAATTCCCTTGCTCGTAATTGGAGCGCGCATTTCCCAGTTTGGTTCGGCGTGGCGAGGATTGTGCAACTGTACTCTAACTTGCATGTTCAAGTTTGGGCAGATATTTTTGTGTTGAAAGGGGTGTATACGTAGGATCGTGCGAGGCATCCAGGTTCGCATACGAAACTCACTTGCGATCGTTTTCTAGGATTGTTGATCTGCGCGTAGAAAAACGGTAGGATCGGGAACATTATTGATTCTGATCCTACTTCATAGGAATTTGCCCTAATAGCAAGGGGGGATACGGCATGGGATTTTGTGGTCTTCCATCCTCAGGTGTGCATCGGGGGGTGCTTGGCAGATGGTCTTTCAAGGTGGAATGATAATGCTAATGGCTTTCCCTGCATGTATTTCCTAGGCTTGCTATTGATGAGTAAACACTGTATTGTGAAAGCTTGCTAGCTTTGCTTGCAATGGCATCGTGCTCACTTCAACTCTTCAAGTACAACATTATTCAGGTCCAAGCATTAACAAAAAAGCCTACACCGGGCCTAAGGCAAGGGAAAAAGGATGGGATGGGTGGGAATCAGACTTGAACGTTGAAAATGAGAACGTGGGTGGAGGGAAATGAGCCTCCAACCACGTTTTGTACTCTGAAGAGGGCGAGTAGCGCATCATCGAGTGCCTTTGCTGCGCTACGAGCCGCTTTGCTTTCACAATACACAATTTTAGTAAGTGTTACACTTACAAAAAAAATCCATATTGTGAAAGCTTGCTAGCTTTGTTTGCAATGGCAGCGTGCTCACTTGAGACATGTGCCGAGCGGTGCACCGATTGCGTGCAAGGGTGCGGTCGTGTTGCGGGGTCAAGGGTGCGAGGTAGGTGTTGTGGAGGAGTTGGGAGGCGGAGAGGAGGTGGTCATGGGAGATGGTGATGTATATTTACTTGGCCGTGTCACTACGCCATTGACCCAAATGCTTAAACAGGCAATAGGGGATCCCGGCGTGTGCAGCGACTGTAGCGGCACCTTTGTGGAATGAGTGTGTTCCAAGCTGCTCGGCGGAGAGGCCTATTTTCTTGAATGCCTCGAGGCACCAGGCTCAGATGGTGGGGTACGAGGGCAATCGATCTCCAGGCTGCGCCTATGTTGTGCGATCAGTACCCGGCAACGCGGAGGAAGTGTGTCGTGCAGCGTACAGGGCAAAACGGGCCTGGTGCAGCTGCCAGTGGCACCCATGCCCCGCGTCCTTCTTGATCTGTCTTGGATTACGAAATGAGCAGCCACATGGCATCTTGGTCGAACTGAATGTCTTCTCATTGGATGGAGATCAAGTCAGAGTAGCGAAGAAAAGCGGTGTACATCATAATAGGGATGAGGCCTTTCTGGTACTCGGCTGGGTCGGTCGAGCCCAAGAACTCGCGCGCCATATTGTGGACTTGATGGAGGGACACGGGTTCCTTGGTCCGGCTCGGGCGTGCGCAATTTCTTGGCATACTCGCGAACTCGCAGGGTCAGGGGGGCGGTGGTGGGGCAAGATGATCCCGTCATCTTGTGCGCGAAGCTGACCGCTGAGCAGGTCAGTTGGATGGCCGACACTGTCGCATGCTGGCTAGTGGCATGGACGAGGTAGTCGGCCAGGGTCATGTCCGTAGCAGGGTCTTGTGTCCGAGCTTAACGCGTTGGCAGAATGTGCGAAACTTGGTCCAGTATGGGTCGTAATTCTTGATGGTGGATGCCGCCCGGGATTGCGCGGCGATCGGCGTGAGCTGCCTCTGGAGACTTGGGAGCACCTCTACGAGGGTGCAAGGATACACATTAGTCAAGCATAGGTGATGCGGAGGGCGAGGATGGGGCTGTTGGGAAGGCCTTGGCCAGAGAATGCATGTGTGTACGACCCTGCCTGTAGGTATTGGATGCCGCTGGCCAAGAGAAGGTGAGCTGTGACCTCTGAGGCCCACGCATGAGGGGCAGGGCAAAGGAGCGGCCACCAGCTGGCACTTGGCCATTCTGGAATTATCAATGTGAGCCTGGACTTGCATCGCCTAGCGTGGTGAAGCGTGGCGGGAATGAGGGGTGGGGGAGAAAATGCGAAACCAAGCTTAGCTTGCCAGCTAATGGAGAAGGCGTCGGTGGCCGTGGCATGGGGATGGGGAATTGTGGAGCAGAACGGAAGGAAGTTGCGCATTCTGTGAGTTGGCGAACAAATCAAGCGTGTGTGGTCCCCACCGTCAATCCACTAGGCGGAACCAAGGCCATTTTAGTGAGTAATCATCGTGCTCCTGGAAATAGAGAGGGCGTCTGCGTGGGCATTGAGGTTGCGCGGAATCCACTGCAGTGCCAGGCAGATATTGTGGTTGACGCATAGATTGATTATCGTGCAGCAAGTACTTGTGAGCTCCGTTTGGCGTGAGCCACCTTTGTGCACGATGAAGAAGATGCTCTGGTTGTCTACTCGACAGAGGACGTGGCAGCCAACAAGTCGTGTATTGTACGACTTGAACGCCCACAAGACGCCCTCGATTTCCCGTTTAGTGCTGGATGTCGGGAGTAGGGCCACAGGCATCGGGGCGCTTGCTTTGGCCAGGCCACCTGGGAAGGTAGTGAGGGTCACGCCCCAGCTGTGAGCACTTGCGTCGACGTGGATCACAACATCGTAACTGTGGCGAATGTGGAAGGGAGAACTGTTAAATTTGTCAAATTGTTGGAGCCAAAATTTGAGCTCAATAAGAGCTTCAATTGACTGGATCACCTTGGATTTCCAAGACATCGCTGGGTGAACGGTCTGAAGGAGCTGATGGCTGAATGCGCAGGTGACGGTACCCAAGGCGAGGTTCATGGATGCGAGCATCCTGGTGACACGAGCCACTTGCTTCACAGGAAGGCGTCGACCGTGTCGGCCGACTGTGAGCAGGCCGGTGATGGTTCGTAGGAGCTGGGTGCGACGCTCTTCTCCAACATAGAATCTGCCGAGTGTCGTGTCGAGCTCGAGACCCAGGAAGCGCAAGCATTGGGTCGGGTGCAATTGTGATTTTTTCGCGTTGATGATGAGGCCAGCATTGCGCAGGCCCTCCGCTACACTGGCACACGTGGTGCGGGCGACCACTTTGGTGGGGGAGAGGAAGAGAATATCGTCAACGTAAGGGATAACCCGAAGGCCTCGAGCGCGCCAACGCTTCGCGAGCTGTTTCATGAGTTGCGTGAATACGAAAGGTTTGGTTGCCAGTCCGAATGGCAGTGAACGGAAGAAATAATATTGGCCGTCAAATTGGAATATGAGGAACTTCCAACACGATGGGTGGATATCCACGTGGTGGTACCCGGATTTCAGGTCCACCGAGAACATCCAATCCCCGGGACGGGCCAGCTTGGCGACATGAGGCAGACCCTCATACTTGAACTTGGGATTGGTAAGGTGGTTGTTGACATATCGGAGGTCGAGGTGAGCCGGCGCTTCTTGCGTTGCATGACAACGTTCACGGGGCTGACACAAACGAGGGCGTCCGATGAGGCTGCCTTCATCGCTGCACCAGAGACGAGCAGCTCCTGGATTGCCTGCGAGTGAATATCGCGTGGTGATTTGCACCGGCATGGTTCGGGGCGTGAGATTAAGTTGGAACATTCGATTTCCATGGCATCCAGTAGCCCCTCGAGATGATGGAGAGCAGGGCCTCAGAATTCAGGATATTTTACTCTAAATTCCTGATTTTCAGGATGCCTGTTAGGTGCCAAACCTGAAAAATCCGCGTACTGTAAATTTTCACCTTGTGAATTCAGTTTTGAATCAAAGTGTAACCCTGAAGATTCAGTAAAGTGTTTGTGTACCAGCCCTGAGCTGTTTGTATGCAACCTTGGATAGCCCTGATTTGTCGAGTCCTGCTAATGCACATGCGCCATGGCAGTACCCCTTGTTTTTCCGAACAAATGTTTTTTTCGACTAAGTCCTGAACGCTAGAGACAATCCTCTAGCCTCTCGCTGATTTTTTCGGCAAGTCCTGAATGTCAGAGGCAATCCTCCGGAACCCCCCACTACACTGAAATTTCAGCTAAGGGCGTAATCCTATGCATCAAGATCAGGATCAGACTAGTGGTGTGGAGAACCAATTTGAACCACACTGAAATGCAATTTCAACACTTGCACAACGCATTACAGCAGGAGTCTGGTCCTGATCCCGGTTTGTAGGAATACACACCCTAATTTCTGATGGGTAGAGACAATCCTCCAAAACTTCCCCCGTTACTTTATTTTTTTTGCCGAGTCCTGAAGGCTAAAGACAACCCTCCAAAACTCCCCCGCTACTCTAAATTCTCGGCTGAAGTCCAAGCTTCCTAAGGAACTCCTTCGCAACTCCAAAATTCGGTCTGACAGTCAAACGAGTTTTTTTTTTTTTTCCCGGGTCTCATTTCCCGTGTCCGCTGCAGTTGAAAAAACCTCGAGCAATTGTGGCTAAGTCCTCAACCCAACGCAGCAACTGAGGCACCAACGCGCTATAAATCGACTTCGCAACATTTCTGGCACTTCAGAATTTACCCTGAGGCCACAGTATAAAAGTGGAAAACTACCATGAGGAATCAGTTTGAGCATAAGCGACCAACCCTGAATGCTACCCGTTTTGGGGGGCGCCAAGCTTGAGTGGTCAGGATGCCTAAAATCCTATCTGAGGCCCTGATGGAGAGGATGAGGCTACTCTCACACCACGAGGCCCACCACGGTCGTTCATCATTGTCTGAGGTGGCCGTTCATCATTGTGACCGATTTCTCAGTCACGGCAAACTCGTATGGGTCCGTCCGTTCTGTCAGCCATTCCAAGTCGAGGCCTGCATATCGCATGAGGGCAGAGGTTATCCCACTATACAAAATTCATGTTATATGCGTACACGATACAAGACGAAAGGTGTGAGTGGCACTGAGGGATGGATCGGGCTGGAGAGAGATGCGAGGGCATTTGGGGATCCATGATGGGCAAAGATCACGGCCGCTTCTTAGGCCAAGAGCGCAATTGCGGGGTCGTTAAGAACTCGTGGTTGTCCAGCGTTTGCTGCCCCGCAGCATTTCTTCTTCTTCTCTCTCTCTCTTGCTCTCTCTCTCTCTCTCTCTCTCTCTCTCTCTCTCTCTCTCTCTCTCTCTCTCTCTCTCTTTTCCCCCCCTCCTCTCTCTCTCTCTCTCTCTCTCTCTCTCTCTCTCTCTCTCTCTCTCTCTCTCTCTCTCTCTCTCTCTCTCTCTCTCTCTCTCTCTCTCTCGATCGCTCTCAAGCGGTCAGTCTTATTTGATGGATCCTGGGTACAGAGTATTTGTGCGGCAATCATGCAGGAGAGAAGATCCTACTAAGAACCGCCGGCTGAAGACGAGCACTGGTGGAACAACAGCAAAACGTGTCAGGGCCCTATGCCTCCCCCACGTCCAAGGTCTGGAACAATTCACTGAGGCTGGGTGCCCAAGGGTCTGCTAGGGGCTGGGGGAAGGCAGCCTGTATGGCCTCTCCGGCCCGGGTGATGAGTGTGGACGCTTGCAGGCGCTGCAAAAGGACGGACCATCATTGGCAGAAATGAGAGTAGAGCCTCTTGGCAGGGGAGGTGAGGGTATTGGAGCGGAAGCGGTGGAGGGCCGAGTGTTCTGCTAGGAGCTGTAGGAATGCAGCTGTAGATGGTGCCAGCGCCCCGTAAGTCTCTACCATCAGTCCAATGAATCCCACATATGCAGGGCGGGGAGTGTAGAGGCGTTCCTTTGCCCGGGCGGCTTCTAGAGCCGCCCATCTCGGGCTGCCGCCGGCGTCATTCTCCCGCTTCTGTAGGACTGGATCGGTGACCATGACATTGGTGATCCACGTGGCCCCACTCTCCAGGTCCCATATGGCCAGGTCGGCCCGCTTACGGTTGGTTGGGGACGAGACCTGGGTCGTCTCGTGGTATGTGACGAAATTCGCCTCATGGGCCATGCGGAGAGCTGAAAATACCAGGGCGTTGTGGAGGCCTTTCACGTCCGACCCAAGGCTGCACCGTAGTAGGTGGTCTGGTAGGCTAGGGTCGGGGATCTCCTCATCGTGGTAGGAGTAGCCTCCTGGGATCGGCAGCGGCATTCCCAGTCGGAATCCCAGGGCCGTGCTGAATTGTCCCGGGGAGAAGGTCAGGTCCGGGCGGGTGGCGAGAGCCAGCAGCCAATCTCCTGCTCCCATGCCTCTGAGGCTTGTGAGGTGGGTGCCGTGCGCGTTATCCAGTCCTGGCCGGTCCAGCAGGGTGTCGGCGAATAGCTCATCCGCTCGTTGGTTGTTGTTATGAAGGGAGAGGCGGTGCTGGAGGCCTCCTGCAGCACCGGTCGTGCGGGCGTCTGTCCAGATGGTCTTGGCCTCATCTGGGAGGTGGGCGTGGAGGTCACGGATGAGGGTGTGGATGGGAAGCGGTCCTGTCCCATCCGCAGCCAGGTGTGTCGTGGCTTCTTGCAGCAGGGTGCCCCGAGCTGGAAGGGAGCTGAGGAGATGGGAGGCAGCCGTGGTGGAGGCGAGGAACGCTGCTGCCGCCTCCAAGACAGGGTCGACAATGCCGATCCCGCCTAGGCTGATGGGGAGGGTCGCTTGTCGCCAGAGTAGGCTCCATTCCAGCTCGCTGCAGGGGGGCTTGAAGGCGTGCCGCAGCGAGTTCTGTGCGTAGGAGGTCCTCGGACCACTTCCTCCAGTCGGGGCAGGGCATCGGCCGGTGTGGAGCAGAGGAGGAAGGTTGCCCGGCGGGAGATGCAGCGGGATAAGAGGAGGAGGGCGTGCTAGGGGTGGACGTTGGTGAGCTGAGGTAGGGTGCCGCTGCTCGGGTGAGCTCCGTGCAGAGGAAGTCTTGGCAGAATGTTGGGGTGCCAATTAAGCTGCCCAGGACACGGAGGCCACCCTCTACCCTAGTGATGGCGGCAGGGAGTGGCAGGAGGCTATTGGCGTCGGCTGCCCATCCTGCCGATTTGCCCATGTTGCAGCGGAGGCCGCACTCGTGCAGGCCATCTTGCAGCTGGGAGAGGGCCGCTGCCGCTGCTAGGGGCGGGCCGACGATTGTGATGTTGTCAGCATAGGCGAGGATGGCGACGCTCGGGTTCTGGTTTGCCACTCGAGCCAAGACCGGCTGGATGGCAGCTGCAAATAGCAGGGGTCCGAGCGGGTCCCCTTGGCGCACGCCGCTGCTGCTGGTGAGCTCTGCGTCTCCAAATGCCGTGTCAAGGAGCAGGGGGGAGGGGCTACCATAGAGGGTGAGTGCGAAGGGGAGTAGCGCCTGGACGCCTCTCCAATGCAGGGCTTGGAGAAAGGCTCGGCGCCAAACGCTGTTGAAAGCGTTCACGATGTCGAGCTGCAGCGCCACGAATTCTGGGTGTATATAGTGTTCGAGCATGGATGATGCCCTCCGCGCCCCCCAGGACTGCTACGCCGTACTGGTGTGGTAGGAAGTAGGACCGGATGGCGCTGTCGAGCTGGTGAAGAGCGCACTTTGCGATGATGCGCAGGTATGCTTCGCCGATGGCGATGGGCCGGACTCCTCCTGCAGGCTTAGCTAGGGCAATGAGCTTGGCTGGGAGGAGTACTTGGCGCACTGGTGAAGGGAGAGTGCTGCTGAGGGTCTGATTCGTAACTGGCAGGAGTAGCTGAAGCACTTGGCCATTTGCGAGGGCCGGGTCGCGCAGATGTTCGAAGCAAGTGCCTGAAGGTCCAGCTCTGACTCCGCGTGGACATTTGGCGAGGACATGTCGAAAGTCCTCGCAGTCAATCGCCAGTGCTGACTCCTGGTAGCTCTGCAGGCTGGCCAGGATTGGCCGTGGGTCGCGAGGGTTTCGGGAGTCGGGGGTGCAGTTGGCGACGGGAATAACGCTGCAACCGCCTTTCGCAGGTTGGTTTTCCCAACCAAATTATCCGCCCGCGTGCGTCGGCCCGCCTCGTCCGAAATGTGTCGAATGGTGGTTCGGTTTGGAATTTCAGCAATGCTTGCTTGGTAAAGTGCCCCCCAATTTCCCGCCCGAAACTTTTAAAACCGCTGGTACAGTGCGTCCCTGCGTTTTGCAGTGGTGGGAGTTGAGCGGAGGGTCAGTCGTGGCAGGAAAGTTAGGAGTCGCCAGCCCTTCGCACATTCGGGGTGTGACACACTTCGTGTTAGTGGGATAAGGAGGCATTCGGCGTAAGCATTTTGGGGGGCAGTTGGCGGATCAGGTAGGGTTGCCTTGAATCTCGGAGTGGTGCCAGCTCCCACACGGTGACTTGTCGCCACAGTTCTTCGTCATTGGCGAGGTCTTCTGGCGTGCGACTGTTTGCCAGGGATGTGTCAGCTTGGGAGGCTCGTGTGATTTCAGGACCTCTTTGTCTTTGTCGCCGGCCTTGACGTCTTGGGTTACGCGCCTCGTCCTCTGAGATATAATTGGACTATGTCTCCTCCGCGGACTCGTCTGCCCCTTCCTCAGCCGATAAGACTACAAAGTTAGAGCCACTCCCCCCTTCCAGCCCATCCTCCCTTGCATCTAGTGGTCTAGTACCGGCCTCCCGTGCCTCTCGCGCCAGTTCCCCGTCCGTGCTATTGGCCTTCGTCGCCCCGAGGTCCGCTCCCCGAGTCTTCCCCCTGTCCCTCGTCTCCTGCGCCGGTCTGCGTGCCCGCCTCCCCACCCTCGTGTTCCTGCTCCCATGGTGCTGGGTTGCACCCCCTAGGCGCCTGCTGCGGGCGTGTTCCGCCTCGCGGCGTTCCATCCACCTGCTGCCTCCCTGGTGGTCTCTTGCGTCGCGTTGGGCAACTCATCAGCCGGGGTTGCCGATGGACCTCGAGCTGGTGTTGTCGCCCTCAAGGCGGTTCCGCGTAGTCGGGCTGACAGGATATCATCGCGGGGTCCGTCCCGCGTCCTCGCCTGCCTCGCGTTATCGCCGTCGCCCTGCCCCTCGTGGACCGGATCTCCAGCTTGGTGGGTCGCAGCGGCGGTCACGTGCTGAGGCAGGTGCCACGTCTCCTGCGCAAGTGTCGGGGGTCCGTCTTTGCCGCCCGTCGCCTGTGGACCTGCCGCAGCTGCGTGTGCCGCGGTCGGGTCCCTTTATGGGTCGGCCGCCAAGCTGGAGGCGTTGGTGGGGAGTTTCGAGCTGCTGGCAGAGGTGCTGGACCTGCTGCAGGCGGCGCTGGAGCGGCGTCCAGCAGTCGCACGCGATCCTGTGTTGTCCCGCCGGCAGAAGATTCGGGCGGGAGGCTGTGGCACGTCTACTGTGGGGGCTGGTGTACCTGCCCCAGACCCTTGGTCAAATAATCGACGAATCCGGAGCCGCCCCCGTGGCTGTGCGCGCGCTGTCGCGAGTGGTGGAGGGAGAGAATGCCCTTGGGCTAGTAACTGGCGCCGCGTTTGTACTCCGCTCCATGCGGCTGGTATTGGAGCGGGCGCTGATGCCGGCGTGACTGGTGTCACGGCAGAAGTGTTCTCACCAACCATGGTGGGGTTGGGCAGACCTGGCTAGGAGCTGCCGTTGGTAGAGTGGGTGTAGTTTATAGCTCAGGATTGTAGCTGCCACTGTGTGTATCCTGCTACGCTATTATAAAGGTTCCGTGGCTACACTTGTTATCTCGCGCGCGGCCGGAGGAACCAAGGCTGAGGAAGAAAATAATGAAGGATGGAGTGGAGAGGAGAGGGCTTTGTAGGATGCTCTCTCTCTCTCTCTCTCTCTCTCTCTCTCTCTCTCTCTCTCTCTCTCTCTCTCTCTCTCTCTCTCTCTCCCTCTCTCTCTCTCTCTCCCTCTCTCTCTCTCTCTCTCTCTCTCTCTCTCTCTCTCTCTCTCTCTCTCTCTCTCTCTCTCTCTCTCTCTCTCTCTCTTCCCTCTCTTGCTGCTCCTCTGGTTTCTTGATCATGTTCGTACGCTACCTTTTTTTTTTTCTTTTTTTTTGGGGGGCTTGTGGGCAGCACGGGCCATGCTTTTGGGATCCATCAGATGTATTTAAAGCCCAAGTCTAGAATGGCACGCTATCAAGTTCAGGATTCCTGGACTTGTTTTCTTACAGTAGAGGTAACCTAGTTTAGGGGTTCGTCAAGTCGCAACCCTCTTGGGGAAATGGGGTTGTTTGCGAAAACTGCTAGAAACGACAAACCACGAACGCACTGTTCACTCATACTGAACATGAAAACGCCTGCAACCATTCTGAACGCATTTTCATGGGAGACTCGATGCTACAGACCATCACAATTCTGTTCGTCACTGTTTGCGCACTGTTTTTCGCCGGAGGTGCTTTGCCGAAATTTTCTTCGCTGGATTTTTTTGGCACTGTTTTCATGGTCAGAAATGTTGGATTTTTACCATTCTAGACTCGGGCTTTAATGCCGGCAACGTGCCAAATGGTTCCGTCCAGGGGTCAACGGGTCCCATACGAACGCATGACGATTCCCATACCAAGGGTCACTTAGTTCCATCCTAGGGGCCAACTAGTCCCATGTGAAGGGCCAACTAGTTCTGTACAGAATGCCAAGTAGTCCCATGCCAAGGGTCCACTAGTGAATCGCTAGCATCTCTAGCTAAACAAGACCCCTCGGGTCTGCCCCATCCTAGGGGTGGGCATCGCGCCAAGCACCACATGGTGCAACCTGCATACCAAGCACGCTAATGGGATGTTGCCCAACCAACTAACGCCTCACACATCCGGTGTGAGCCCGTGACCACCACTTCCCGCGGCGGGGCAGGCGCTGGCCACATGGCCCTGCTGCATGCAAGTGAAGCAGTTGCCTTGGAAGGTCTTTTTCTGGAATGGAGGGGTGTGTGCCTTTGGGCCGAACGCCGTGGTGTCGCGCCCGTTGCCGCGAGGCATGCAGGGCGTGCGCGCGCGCTGAAGGGCAGCCGCATCGGCTACCGCCAGCTTGTAGTGACGCGAGGTGAGGACCTCCTTGGTCCGGTATAGCTTGTAGAGTTGGCCGTGCGGAAGCCGGCGTACTCCGCGTCCACGAGCATGTCGAACTGCTTCTTGATGAGGAGGTTTGCGTCGGCGATGGTCTCAAGTGCACCGTCGACATCGCCGATCCGAACCTTGTGTTCGATGTGCTTCAGGTAGGACTGCAGGTGCTCGAAAACTTCGGCCTGGTCCCGCACTCCTTCGCGGTTGAAGTCAGCGGCGGCGGTGTCTTGGTGGAGGGTCGGGAGGGGGGGGAGGGGTTCGGTGTAAATTGCAGCAGTGTTAGGGACATGGTCCTCACCATTGTTGCTGTCTTCGTCGGAGTCGGAATGCTCTGCGGGAGCTGCCGGGGGGGCCTTCGCGATGTCGGACGCCTTGTTGGCCCATGCAATTTCGGGTGCACGCGGAGAGGGAGACGCCTCCTTTTGTTTTCTGATTTTATCGAAAGCAAAAATCGAATTGTCGAGCATAACGCTCGTGGGGGGCTGCTGCTGTCACATGGAGAGGAGCACCTGGACTTGGGCAGGTGAAAGCGCAACCTGAGGGCCCTCAGGCGCTACTGCAGCTCGATCCTTCGGGCGGCCGCTCGAGGGGCCCGCGATCTCCAGATCCGTTCGTGGATCTCGGAGGGGTGCCGCGCGTGGGCCGTCAGGGGCGGCTGCGCGTGTCTCCATGGCTGCCACGTGCGCGGCTTCCGTCCTTGGCGAGGGAGGCTCGACCTGGCCCGGGGCAGCCCCGCCAAAAAGGACAGAAATGCCTGTGCTGGCCTGGGGCATCGAGGTCCTTAGACCCGTCACGAGCATTGGAGCCAGCAGGAGCCATGACCGAAAGGTTATGCTTAAAAATATCCGTTAGGAGGGCTGAGGGGGGCGTGAAGCGAGGCAGTGATTGAGTCTTCGCCAGCTTGGACGAAAAAAACGGGAATCAGACTTGAACGTTGAAAATGAGAACGTGGGTGGAGGGAAATGAGCCTCCAGCCACGTTTTGTACTCTGAAGAGGGCGCGTAGCGCATCGCCGAGTGCCGTTGCTGCGCTACGAGCCACTTCGCTTTCACAATAAACAATTCTAGAAAGTGTTACACTATCAAAATTTTCCATATTTCTGCAGCAGACTTCCAGTAGGAGCATTGGCTGAAGTGGCTAACCACTGCGGTCCAGTCCAGTTCCAACATAGGCAGGCACTGGCGCAGGCAAACAAGCACAAGGGCGGGCACTATGCAGCTGAACAGTACAACCAACGCAGCGCGTGACAATAAATTTATTCCCATAAAAAGTACAACGAACCTAGACAACGTGGGTACTCAGGCAGTTCATTTGCTCTCAGCAGCGCCCTCCCAGCACACCACGGCAGCACCTGAGCGCAGGCCATCCTACGGGGTCCGCTGGTAGCCACCCCGTGAGGGGTTGCGGCTATCAGCTTCATAAGAAGATGGCGGCGGCGGTGCAGCACATGGGAGCAAGGCGGTTCGCTAAAGAGCTCAGCCCTGCATGCTGGGCATGGCATGGCGCGGCATGGCATGGCACGCACGGAGAGGAGGCGAGGAGGTGGAATCTACTCCTCGTGTGCATCACCTAGCAGGGGCTCCAGCGGGCCCTCCAGCTCCTCTGGTGCCGGCAGGCGCTGGAGCTTTAGGGCGAGGGAGGGAGACGGGGATCACAGGTCCACTTCTCTGCAGTTGCCCCAGTGCATGCATAAGGCAGTCTGCCAGCATGCAGGAGATAGGCCGCATGGCAGACGGATTGCGATTGGCCAATGCCATGTGCTAAACAGCATGGTGTGCATGTGGGTTAGACAAGATGTATGCACATAAACAGAGTGCATGGAACTCACAGATGCACTCTGTGGTGCGCAAGTGTAGCACCCTATGCATGCATGGGTGCTTGTGCAGCATGCACGTTTCAGGTGGCATGCAGACACACAGTGATAGAACGAGGATGACACAGAGTGCTTGTGCGATAGGGAATGCAGGTGCGCTATGATGTGCATATGTGTATGCATGACTGATGGTATATGCAAACGTATGTTTCTGGCAAGCGCACATCCAATGGTGCGTACGAACAATAGCATGAGCATGCACGGTGCAGTGGCCATGCACGGTGCGCTAGGCATGCACGGTGCGGTGGGCATGCATGGTGCGGTGGGAATGCATGGTGCAGTGGGCATGCATGGTGCGGTGGGAATGCATGGTGCGGTGGGCATGCATGGTGCGGTGGGCATGCCTGGTGGGGCGGGCATTGCCTCACCTGCAGGCCGGAGAAGAGCAGGGAGTCGCCAAGGGAGACCTCGAACGAGCCAGGCCTGCAACAAGGCACACATATGAGTTGGAGGATGCATGTCAGCACAATCTGTGGCTGCCCATGTGTGGCGCCCCCCCACAACGGATGTGGTGACCCGGTTGCTGCTTTCACCCGGTTGCTGCTTGCCGGCCTGCTATCGCCCCTTGCATGGCGCCGCACGGTGCCCAAGGAGAAGCGGCCTAGGCCTTCCCCCTGTCCCCCCGTCTCCCCCCTCTTCCCAGCGCACCTGCCCTGGGAGCCGTCGGGGTTGCCTGTGACCATGATGGTGGGGAAGCGGTCCTCTGTACGCGGGAGGGTGGCAGGCACCACACGAGGGGGATCAGGGGCGATGGTGAGGGGGATAAGCGGGGCCAGTTGGGGGAGGGGAAGGATGGGCATGGTTGGGGGGTGGGGGGGGGTGTAAAGCGAAAGGGCTGGTTCGATGTAGTTGGAAGGAGATGGCGCGTGGGGGAGTGGGGAGGATGCCCGTGGCGATCAAGCGTATGCTGCGCAGCCAGTGATAGGACATGACGGCTAGCCACGTGTGTGGCATGTGCGTGGGGCATGTGCGTGGGGCATGTGCGTGGGGCATGTGCGTGTGGCATGTGCGTGTGGCATGTGCGTGGGGCATGTGCGTGTGGCATGTGCGTGGGGCATGTGCGTGCATGGCAGCAACCCACCCAGGTGGTCAGCGACGGCAATGAATCGGTCGCGAGCATCGGTGTCGTCGTCGTCATACTCCACCACCACCTGCCACACGCACACGCACGCACGCACGCATGGACGCATGGACGCATGGACGCATGGAGGAGGCACGGCAGGCCGACGCGATGACGGCAGCAGTAAGAATGGTGCACGGCTTTCCACCTGTCCGCTCTCAGCTCAGCGTCCGCGTCACCGCATGCTCCATGCGCGCACAGCACCCCCATGCCGTCACACGGTCGCGTCAACCGCGCACCCGCCTGCTCCACTTCGCCATGCGCATTCCCTCCCTCTCCCCCCCCAATGCTCCCCACCCCCCCAACTCCCGCCGCAAGCCACGCGCACCTCAGGCGGCGGTGGCGCGGACAGCCCCGAGCGTCACGCGAAGTGGCGCACGGCAGCGGGGCTCGCTCTCCGCGCGAAGCTGCCTTGCATCGCGCAGGCTGCTGCTGCCTGCGATAGCGGCCATGCTGGGGGGAAGGGGGAACGGGCACGTGCGGGGAGAGAGGGTTGAAGGTGGAGGACAGTGGCACGGGAAGGACACGCGCGCGAATTGAAGAGGGCTACTTGGGCCATGCTGGTCGCATGCATGGAGTGCACGCTGGTAGGCCGTGCGTGCGGCGAGCGCGAGCGAAGCAGCGCGGGGGGTGAGGGCGAGGGGACTGACACGGTCGGGCGGGCGCGCACGGTGGAGCGACGAGAGCAGGAACGGCGAGACCGCGAGCGAGGAGCGGCGCGGGCGAGACTTGGCGAGGGACGACGGGCAGCGCAGCGACGGGAGACTGTGGCGGTGGCGCGCGGGGATTGGGACGGACGGCGCACGCGAGCACACGTCGTAGCGCCCTCCGGGACGCCATGGTGGCACGCACGGAAAGTGGGACCAACTTATGGGAGGCAAGGAAAGCTGCTGGTGTTGTGGCTGCTGGGTGGTTAGTGCGCAGGGCACTCACACTCACTCGCGGTGACTGGTGGTGCAAGCATGTGGGGGTCGTGCAGGCGTGGCAGGAAGCCTAACCAGCACAGCCACCAGGAAACGTGGGAACAATGTCGGCGCGCCGCGAAGGATTCGATGGTGACATGGACGGTACATGCCACGCAAGCAGCGGCCAGGTGAAGGTGCACGTAGCCAATACCCCTGTGCGACCCTGGCAAATTTGTTTAAAACGTTTCCGAGGTTGTAGGAGCATTGTCGCATCTGAACTGTAGAGGGGCGAGTAGCCTATCTTTTGCCCTGACAATGTCCACGTAGGCACGT